GGGGGATCTTCGCTCACCCCTATAAGAGAAAGGGTGATTGCACTGCTTTTAGTTTTATGGGACGTTCCGATTGCTGCCCGTCGTGGGTATGATGAGGAGGACGGGAACGTCCGAATCAATAGTTGGGCTCCAAAGTACTTATACTATCGTTGTGAGTGACAGAGACATTTGTGCAGTAGTTATTGCGGACAAATTTATCAAGTGTTGTACTTTTTCAGCAGGCTGTTTAGTTAGTATTAGTAGCCTACAAAAAAAAAGACAATATGATGTAAAGCTGTATACATTGACATTACGCTATATAGTAGCCCATGCACCGTGCAAAGATTTGAGATTTTTTTGAAATAGTGATATAGAGCTGTAGGCCTACTTTTGCTACAAACCATGTTGGCTCACAAATCTTCCTGAGACATGAAATTTTTGGGCATAATTATACGAACCTGTACATTCACATTCAGCAGTATAGTAGCCCATACATCGTGTAAAGACGTGATATTTAAAGATACATATGTATCATAATTTAGAGCTGCATTTTCACAACAGGATGCGTAGTATTCGCCCACACATTGTGTAAAGACGTGAGATTTTAGGGCACAATAATTTTGAGCTGTATACGTTGACATTGGCTGCAGAGTAGCCCATAAGTTGTGCAACGATTTGAGTTTTGGACATTAAAATGATTAAGAGCTCTATACATTCACATTAGGCTGTATAGCGTGTAGCCCATACATTGTGCAAAGACTTTTGGTTTAGTGGACATAATTGTAAAGAGCTGCACGTTCACAACTGGATGTGTAGTGGTCACTGACACATTGTGCAAAGACGTGAAATTCTTGCTTTTGAAGTAAGTAGGCCACTCGTAAGATATTGACTCTCTGTACCGAAGTTCGGTCATTGTGAGTAGTTTGAATTACCTTTTTTTCCCAGACGTATGAAACCTCGGTCAGTTTATCTAAATCGTGAAAGTGTGCCTTGTGATACTTTGTTGTTCTTTCCATATATACTTGTATTCCTTTTCTTCCCCTCATTAGACTGCGGGTGATTGGAGGGCGACACTGGTAGATCCCACTTCTTTACTTTCCTTCTGTTGTTCCTGTCTTTCTGTACTTTTCCCAACACTAAATGACCATTATTGTGTCGATGTGCTTCCCTTTTCTCAGACAAACAAACAAACCATAATAGACATAATTATATTTTTAAAAACTTTTCAATTTGATTTCTACGGCCTGAGTTGTGTTGTGACATTATGAATATTTTTTTTTTAATTTTCTTTTCCACCAAAGTTGTAGTTGAGGGTGAATCGGCGGGAGAATGGTCCTGTGTCGTCAGGATGGGTGAGGATAATAGTGACGGTTACACAAAGTAGAAGGTGTGGACTTCCTCTTTTCGAGGATGCAAGTTGTGCCATTTGCACTGTTGTAATTGGGTGTTTTTCTTGAGCCTATTTTGTTCTA